AAAAAAAAAATCAGAGACGTTTTTTTATATTTGTATATATTTCTGGCTGTAGCAGCGCGCGTTGTTAATTACGGCCTGTCATTAGTGATTCTGTCTTTTCAGATGCGAGCTGTTGACTTCAATCCTTTCTCCTGGGACAGCGACAGCAAGAAGGTAAAATCAAATGTAGTCAGTCTCGATTTCCAAAATGGCAATGGAAAGAAGATTAATGTATCCAACCTTGATAACGACATTGAGATAGTTATTCCGATTTCGAGTCCAGCAACAAACATCAGCAACGCAACTGAACATTATTTCCTAAAGCCGAACCGAATGTTCTTCCACAGTTACTACGCAGAACTAGCAAATGTCCCCGTTTCTATGAGAATCGGTGTGCCGGCAGAAGGTACAGTTATTAAATTATTTGTTAAATTTGGATCAAGACCTACGATGGAAGACTCTGATCACAACTTCACTATACTGTTCACGTCAACATGTAGAAACCAAGTCGATTATCAACAAAATAAATCAACATCCTGCGCACTTGAAGAACGCTCTGTAACAATAGTGCCTTATGAGCCAAGTCTTCTTTATGTCGGTCTGGTGCTTCTAGATGCTAACAATGTCACCGATCATGCTAGAAAAAGACGGTCATGTTTTGGCCATGGCCGCGAAAAACGGTCATGTGTTGGAGTTAAAGAGCCCCCTTCTACAGGAGTCACAAAAGTGAATGTTCCGAAGTATGATCCTTTAACAGATGTCAACTACACGTTTACTATTACCCAATCGAGTTGTTTGTACTGGTCTGAAGACAAAGAAAAGTGGACCTCCGACGGTTGTAAGGTACGTTATATTAATATTGGGAAGTGATGACTCCCTGCATCTTTTCCTTAAATTTCAGGATGTCTTTGCCGCTAAAAGTATGCTTACACATTAACTAAACAATTTGTTCTCGTTCTGGAAGGTTGCACTTATAAACTAATGCCATGTGATTAGGTAAGACAACTGACACAGCAATCATAATTTGAACTTTTTGCTGAGACTTCGTTAGCATTATTATGTGAAGATCGTATCTTTAAACTAGGAGAAAAATGCAAAGATATGGATGATCATTAGTATTACAGAGTTTAAAAGAAATTGAATAAAAAATGGCCATAAATTACAGAATCATAGGGGCGGTTCTGGAGCCACATATAAGCTGGGTGTGCAAAATATATATCGGAGCTATCAATAATTTATATCTATGTATAGCAGGATCGAGTCCAAAAATTGTTCAATCTGATTGCAAATCTTGATAAAATCAGCTCACAATGAAGCCCGGTCTCTCAGTATCGCTGAGGATCTCTTTCTGATCTACCACAGGGATATGTAAATATTACGTTCCTGTATTTCTATCTAATGCTGATTTTAACTAGCTGCCTGGCTCCGCTAGCCCCTATGGTTATTCCAGGCAGCTAGTACTCTAATTTTTACATTTAATATTTTCACTGAAATTGTAATTTTTTCTTTAGTAAGAGTGAGTACAAATAAAGATTGATTATTATTGAAAATACACTTCGCTGACTATGAATGCTTCTGTCGTAGGTTGACCCCAGCTCAAACATCACTCACCTTAAATGCCTTTGCAATCATTTGACATCATTTGGCGGAAACTTCATTCAAGCACCAAATCCTATTGATTTTGACAAGGTTTTCACTGAGTTTACGCGGCTTGGTGAAACTGGTAATATCTCGGTACTTGTGACAATTGCATGCGCTATTCTCCTTTACTTCATAGTGCTAATCTTTGCAAGGAGGGCTGACAAAAGAGACGATAACAAGGTTTGGATAAACTCATATAGCCATTGTCTCTTTTGCATGCTGATAACAAAGAGGTCTGCCTCTGGACATAAAACTA